AATCATTTTATTATGCTAAAAATGATAATAAAAACTTTGGTCTTTTCTGCCATGAAACTCCATTTACAGATCCATCTAGTTGAGACTTTCACTTGTCAGAAATATTACTGTGTTTGTCCTATGCCAAAATTCCACCCTCAACATTGGAGCTTCATGATCCATGAGATGGTATTGACTTTTTGAAGTGGATAGGGGTTACTGTCTGGTGGGTCATGATGCTTTGGTGGTACTTTTCCCACCTACACATGCATGTCCTTGCATGGTATTAGATATATTGGAAATAGGGATACCATTATCATTGATGCCTCGACTCCAACTAGGATAGGGATTATTTATGTTTTGATAAACCCATTTCACTTGTCTACATGTCATTCAGCCCATTCTTGTGGACTTTTTGGGTCTTTTTTCAGATTTCATTGAACGCCCATTGATTTGGTCGGTTGTGACGCACTGACCATTTTCAGTATGGATGAAGAAGGAGCTACTGCCTCTTGAATGTATATTTTTCATATGTCTGGGCTGCTCTGCTGAGAATCTAATGCAGAAACTGGACATAACATTCTTACAGTTGTTTGTGTCACCATCTGTGTACCATTTTTGGCTTCACATTATTGTTAACAAAACTGACTGCTTTGTCTAAATTAACCCTATGGACAGTGCACATCTCATAAACTTTTTATAGAGTAAAGTTTGCCATTTAACTATACTATTTTATTATCAATGTATGTTAATAAACTTGGTATGTAAATATTATATATATAAATTACATTTTAATGCTACCTAAGTTTTAATTTCTTAATTTCAAAAGGAAATATTTAACTAAATTCTCAATCTGCACCTCTGAGTCACATGATGCAGAGATTCTCTGACTTCTCATTTATAGGTTTGTTCTTTTGCGTACAAGGACCTCAAATTTTTCAGCTAATTGGAAACGTAGCTACAGATATTGGTGGGCCAAAATATAAAATTTTCAGCCTCTTCTTACTTCAATAAAATTTGACTATTTGATAAAACCACATTGACAAGCCTCTTCCATATCCTTTGAATTTTAAAAAATGTCAGTAATTCTCTCTTACATTGTTATTAGAAATTGTTATAACCAATAGAAAGAGCAAATTCTAAACTACATAAAACAGGTCATTGTCAACTTTGTTTTAGCAGTAAAAGCCAATAAATTCTGTGAGATCTTAATGTGTTTAGACTATAGATGTTGCTCCAAGCAGTATTGGATTTTTTTTAACTTATAGGTTTTTATAACACAAAAAATATATTGATAAATAATATTATATTAGTTTTGGGACATTCTATTCTAGAGTCTGATATATTTTTTCTGTTTTAAAGTGCTTATTTGAAAGCTACATTAACTGTTTTTGTACAACCAATGGAGAAAAAATAGACTTATTAAAGCATGCACCCCAATGCGGACTCAAGGCTATAAAAAGTGCTAAATTTCTTGGTTTTTGAGTATATTTTTTATCTATTATGTATTTTTAACAAAAGCAATTAAAATGTAAAAATTAGAAACTTGTTACCTTAGATATGAAAACTTAAATGAAGAAGAAAATGTCTTCTTAAGGAATGCACACGAGCTGCTGACACATGATATATCTGGTGATGTGATTCAGTAGTTTGTTTGCTTGCACTAAGCTCTCACCAGGTGATTTATTGCTTTCTTACCCTAATTAGATATGGTTCAAAGAACAGTAAAACACTAAAAGTAAATTTAAGTAGATGTGACATTGTTAGAAGCCCGAGTCTGTTTAGGATAAATAAATGTGATTGTCCATTACAATCTGCAGTCAATCGAAGGAATCTATATTTTTCATTTTATTATTTTCAACTTTTGTTATGAATGATTTGGTCATATTTAATGTTAGGGTAAAAAAAAAAGGAGTAAGTATAAAAAAAAACTTCTGATATTCATTTAGGGGCTTGGCATGGTCTTATGGTTTGGGTGCTCAACTGATAAGCAGTGGGTTGTGAGTTCCCTTTAGACTTGTTTTCAATATTCCTGTAGACAAAATCTAAAATTCTACTTGTCCTACTACTAGAACAGCACACTACTTGGATGGCTTAAGAGACTGATCAACCAGAACATCAATATCCTTTTCTTCCATAACATTGTTAAGGTTATTCCCATCAAAATTATACTTATAATTCAAATTTTTATAACCCTCATGCATTACCTTGCATTTATTGTAATTATAAGCAATCTATCATTTATTTGCCCAACTCACTAAATACTTGAAATTCCTTTGTAAATCAGCAGCATCTTCACGACCATCAATACCTAAGTCCTTAATGTTATCAGCAAATTTAAGTAATTTATTGAACATTCTTTCATCCATCACACTTACGTAAATAAAAAAAAGATACCCCACTTTTGATATTTATCCAGTTGAATGAACTTCTTTTATAACAACCCTCTACTTTCTTCTGTCCAGCCAATTTTGTACCAAACAAGCCAGCTTATCCCCCATACTTATAATAGTTTTAACACTTTTGTTACAGGATCTTTTTTCTGTGCATGTCACAAGGTTTTAGTGAGTTGCAATCAAAATTTAATTAAACTACTTTCTTATGGTATATGAATAAACTTGCCATAAATACATAGGTAATAATCCAAATTTTAAAATTTTATAAGTTTTAAGTTCTTAATTCTATAAAGCAATATTAAAGAAAAATCCTGAATTTCCCCTAGTATGAGAATTGTAACATTTGCTCTCTAATTTATTAACCACCCCTTCGAGAAGTGCAAAATTTAATGTAAATTATTCCTTATAATGTTTTTAACACTCGGGCAAAGTATTATTTTTATAGCATTCAAAGGTATTTGGTTACAGAGCCATGAAATAGAAAATCAGATGCTTCTTTCCATGCCCACGTGTCACATTCACTTGTTCAGAACATGCCAATAGTTCTCTCTGATGTTTAATACTGTATTTTTATAACCAATAGAAAGTCAAGGTATTAATTTCTCAAATGACTTTATATTACAATGTTTTCGTTATAGAGAATTGTCTATTTCACTTCCAGTTCAAACTTTATTCCCATGAGAAACACGTTGATGAGCTTAGCTGACTTTTTAACAGATCTTGTCACATAATTAGAAAGCCAGAAAACTTGTGATAGTTATGGGAATTTGTCTGCTTCTTGCATATTATTATTATTCTGTGTTGTTTGGTGCATTATTTAATTAAATTTTAAAAAAATAAGTAGGGTTAAATTTCATCAAAAGTAAAAAAAAAGAAGACCAAGGTAAGTACTATAATTCTTGTTTTTCATGTGTATTCTTTATTTATTATTATAAAAGTAACTAAAATCTAAAACTTAGAAACTTTTGAGGTTAGATGAGGTAAAAATAAATAAAAAATTTTCATGGAGTACTCTTGCGAGCAGCCTGTGCATTATGTAATTCATTAGGATAATGCGAGCCAAACATTTGCCAAGTTATTTACAAATTTTATGGTGGGAATAGTAATCAGACATGATTCAAAGGGCAATAAAACAATCAAATTTAAGTATAAAACAGATGTATACTGTTATGAGTTTAAAGCTATTTAGCATAAAAAAATGTAGTTTCATGTTGCAATTTGAAACCATTCTAGAAAGGAAAAATAGGTAATTTAGATTTGTATTTTTGTGGGAAGGAGGTTGGTCAAATTTACCAACCTTATATAGAGTTAGAGTGTAAAAAATAACAGATAAATTTAAGGTTTTACTTAAAAACACATTTGCAATTTGTTTAGAGGTTTTAGAGATTACACAAATGAAATTTGAGATTTTAAATTTTAACATGAAAAACACTTTGACTCCATATATTCAAAGAGAAATTTTTGTTAAAAATACTTCATTAAAAATTCTGATTTTGTGTCTACAAACAACTTATAACGTTCATTAAAAGCTTGTGAAATTTCGTGAACATATCAGAAGTTATAGTATGGAAACTGTTAAGGTCAATTTGGGGTCACAAACTCTGCCAAGTCCTTAGGGAGAGAGTTAATAAGCCTTTAATGTAGCACCTTGTCAAACACCCATACCCTAACCTTCATCTACATCAGCAGCAACCTCTTCAAAGAATGTTAAAAGATTAGTAAGACAAGATTTTCTCTATGCTAAGCCATTTTAATATCCAACAAATTTGTTAAAAATTCAGTCCTCAAGGTTCACTTTTGAGTATTAGCTACTACCATCAAGATCAGCAGCAGCTCTAGACAGGCTCTTGCTGATGTGATCCTCCTACTTTCCATGAAGTAAGTTTGCTGTGCTATAGCAGCCAGGTATAAACTTGATGTTGAATTAGTATTCATTTTCAGGGCTAGTTACTTTCACAGATGAGTTGTTGTCCTTAGTGGGTTTTGACGTTCTTGGATGCCATTATGATGACTTTACCAACCAGCACCTTTCATAGGGTCTGATAGGTGTCTTGCATTCTGCATATCACCCTGTTTTTGGTTCATTCCACAGTGCCACTGTATTTGTTATATACAAATTAATTTTGACCAAGAATATTGAAAGGGCAGATCCTTGGTCACTAGTGAATCTATGTTAAATTCTGTGGTGTTTTTTACAACTTATAATTACAAATGCTGAATATAATGCAATTGGTAGAATAAAGTATAGAAGAAGAAATGTGCTAATTTACCAACATAAGTAATGGTAGAAAGACTAAAATTACACGAATTTGATAAAGCCAAAACCAGATATACTTTTGCAACTTTTTTGAAAGTTTTATTCAGTTTTGTTTGTTATTTCAACTGTGAGAAAGAAATAATCAAGGAATATCAGTGATGCCCCTCTGGTCCATTAAGAGGTAATCAACAGAATCTGTTATTTTATCTGTTAAGTTTAAGTGTTTATTTTGCTGATTTATTGCTCTGGGTTACATTTTGTACATTTGTAATGTAACTATTTGCATACTTTAATGATTTTTAAAGCTTGAAGATTTTAATGATTTAAGGAGAGTATTTGTTCATTTGTTATGTTATTTTTACTTTCAGATTTTCCTTGTAGCTACTAGTTTTCTAGGCTCATCAGGTCAAGAAGAATTACTCACTCAACGATTGAAAAATATGGAGTGTCAGAGCTGATTAAGACTGAAGATTTTATACAGACTTTGACTCTTATGCTTAATCAAGCAGTTGAAATCAACCATTATTCTACTGTAAGTTTGCAAGTTTTGTTTTTATTGATAACCAAAATATTAATGTGTTAAAAGCTTTCCCATTTTAAATGTCTGTAGGATAAATGAAGTTAGTAGAAAATAAAACAAAAATAAAACTGTTCCATTTTAACAGATAATACCTACTGTATTTGGTATAGATGTCTTACCAGATATCTATTCTTCAAGTGATTATTATTCTTGCAGCTTATACATGAAATTCTGCATTTATTTTTTTAACATCAACTAAAGCAAGAAACATGATACATGTAACTCAGAATTCATTATCACCTACCATGAATTGCTTACTAGAGGAAAATATATTAATGTAGGTAACTATTCTGTTAAATTTCACTTGGAATTATCAAATATCATGTCACATAGGTCAATGATCTGCTTCTAACACATCCGGTTAAATTTGAAACTTAATCTTGACACATTCTAACAAGTACCATTTACAGTTTACATACATAGCTTACCAGTTTTAATTGTAATGAAATTAAGGAAAAGAAAACTGAAGATTGCACTGAAAAAGATGAGTGCTTAGTTAATTAGACCTCTCAAGGTGGATTCCTGTATGTGGTGAGCAGACTTCCCAGGGAAGGTTCTGTCTTTTCAGTTTACCTCCTCTGGGATCCAAACATCCACCCACATGTTTGCCATGTATGGTGTCCCAGGAAGTGGAGGAGAGGATTCTGATGGTTGAGGGGTGTCGTTTTGATGGGTCAATTATATGAGTGCCACTTCGACACATCACTTTGGCATTGAATTCCTGTAGATGGATAGTCTTGTGGTGGTTCCTCTAGGGTCAGTTGACTGGCCCTGTTGGGCTAGGGTCAGTTAAATGCCAGTGTTCGACATTCTCAACAGGTGTTGTGGACTTTTTGTTTGATGCTGGTGTTTGGGTATAGTACCCACAAAACCTTGGTGTAGCTACAGTGTTATTGTTTGGCATTGTAGTGCATTCCCTTGTATGGCTTTATGGTGGTTAGGGTCAATGGACACTGAATATTCTCTATTTCTTATGGATCCCTCACCCATTGACCCCCAAAAAACAAAACAAAAAACGTTGATTGGAAAATGACCATGTCTTAAAGACTACCTCTGACTGTTCTTGTACCTTGTTTTTTAATTCTTCATTCTATATCTGACAATCATTTAGGGCAAATGTCTCCCTTTTTCATTCAGAAAGGATTAGAAGGGCTTGCTAGCTCTTCAAAATCAGTCAAACAGTTATGTTCTGGGGACATCTTGGTGGAAAAATCTACACCAAACCATAACAAACTCCTCCTGAGGTCAAAGGCCATTGGGGACATACCTATTGAGGTTACTCCCCATGTTACTTTGAATTCCTAAGAGTAGTTATAATTGAGAGGGATTTAAAGAACATCCCCGAGTCAGAGATCTTCACTGATTTCTCCAGCCAAGGAGTTTCTGCTGTGCAAAGTATCCCCACTCATAAAGATGGAATTATGCAGCCTAACAATGTTCTTATAACAATGTTTACATCACCACATCCCCCTGTCACTGTTAAGGCAGGTTATCTGTATTCCTAACCTTCTTGGTGTTTCCAATGTGAGTGGTTTGGCAACTTGTTGTGGTTCTTTGACATGTTCTCGTCGTGGTGGCAAAGACCATGATGCCTACAACTGTTTACTGGACACTCACTGTATCAAGTGTGGTGGTTCCCACTCCTCATACTTTTGTTCTTGCCCTAAATAGATGGAGGAAAAAAGAGGTACAATGTTTATGTACTGTAAATAACATCTCTTATCCAAAGGCCTGGTAGTTGTTGTCCCTTGGGCCATCTTAGACATATGCTTCTGCTCTCTGTTCAACTGCTACAGTGGGAGTGCAGACAGATCTTTCCAAGCCTCCAATAGAATCTTTCTCTCATCATGTCAAGAGTATCTTACCCTCTGTCAATGCAAGAGTTAGCAAATCCACATCTACTCCTGTCTCTGTCCCCACTGCTGCATCTTGTGACTGTTCAGGTCCCTCTCCTTTGGCTTTGAGGTGCAGAACCATTATTCAGTCATGCACTCAGTTTCTGGAGGAATGACAGGTTGTGTGATGGACATGTTCATGGAGGTGTGGCATTGCTGATTGACCAGCATATTTCCACCATGTCTGTGCCACTCAGCATGCCATTGGAGGCGTTTGCCATCTATACCATCACTGTATGCTCTCTTTACCTGTCACCACAAGAGACTTATGATCAATCAGACTTTGATGATCTTGTAGACCAGCAGCCATCTCCCTTCTTCATCTTGGGAGATTTTAATGGACACAATCACCTTTGGAGTGAGGCTGATATTGATAGGAGGGTTTGTTCTGTGGAGCATATGTTCTCAGATCACAACCTTTCTCTCTACAATACTGGTTCATTTACCAATTTTCATGCACCTAGTCAGTCTCAGTCTGTTACTGCTATTGATCTATCTGTTTGTTCACCTTCATGTTTTTGGAGGGTTGACAGTGACCCACAGGGCAGTGATAATTTTCCAATCATTTAGAGGGAGATTGTCCACAGTTGCTGCCGTCTGACTCGTGTGCCATGGTGGAAGTTAGAGCAAGCTGACTGGTTCTCCTTCACCATTCCCTCAGAACTTGGTCCTGCTGTTATTAATCTTCCATATATAAACAAATTCATGGAGGCAGAAACTTATCATCTTATTCAAACAGCTGTCCTTTCTATCCCCAAAATCTCAACACATTTCCTACAGCATCCTCATCCATGGTGGACTCCTGCCTGCTAGCAGGCACGGGACCAGCTGATAAGTCTCTAAGCTTCAATCAAGGAAGCCTTCCTCAAGAGAGAGCATCTTGTTTCTATATTCTGTGATCTTGAGAAGGCTTATGACACTACATGGAGATTTTGCATGACTTTGATTTTTATGGGTTGCATGGCCATTACCAATTTTTACTTGACCAGGATTTCAAAGTCTGTATGGGTTTAATCCTGTCCTGATCCTTCACACAGGAATTTGGTGTCCCTCTGGGCTGTGTCTTGAGTGTCACTTTTCAGTATTGAGGTCAGTGCTATCACTGAAAAACTTCCTCCTATTGTTTCAAACAGCCTCTATGTTGATGACTTCCACTTTTCTTGTCTGTCATCTAACATGAGGTTTATTGAGCAGTAGCTTCAGACTGCTCTCACTCATTTGTTGGGGTGGACCAGAGCAAACGGTTTCACCTTCTCTTCTTCTCTGTTTGCATCTGTTTTTGCAGTGCTCCATGTTGGAGTTGATGTTCTTCCCATAGTGGGACTTATCTTTGACCATTCATTCCTCACATTAAGTACTGTTTAATTGATTAAAAACCTTAGCTACACATCATTGCCTTTTTATAATGCTTAAAAAAGGAGGACTGACATTAAGCAATGGAGATTGGTCCCAAAAGGGTGTGTCAAGGGTATGGGAGCGCGGAACATTGTCTGCGTCCTCTTATTCATATTGGTGCAATATTATTGGGGAGCAGACAGATGTTCCATGCTTAAGATCTATTGTGCCCTCATATGGTCCATGCTGAACTATGGGTGTATGGGTTCAGCTAGGGTCTCTCCCTTGAAGATCTTGGACCCTGTGCACCCTTTGCATGGGGGCTTTCTGCACTTCACCAGTCCAGTGTCTGTACATTGAGTCCCATGAGCCTCCTCTTCACTTCAGACATTTGCAACTTTCTTTGCAATAAGCTACCAAGCTTTCATCTTTACCAAGGCATTCCACCTAAGGTTGTGTCTTCCTTCTTCAGTAGGCTTTGCTCTTTTAGAATTGGTGGTCAGCCATTCCTCCATTTGGCCATCATATCTGGGCACACTCGGCTGATTTGGGTCTGCCATTGGGTTATGTTGCTTAATCTGATGACCAGCCCATTCCTTCATAGTTTGTTAATATACCCACTTATGACCTCTCTTTGAGTCATTTGAGGAAGAGGGATAGTCCTGATTGAAAGTACCATCTTCTCTTTGTCAATCATCTTTCTGTTCCCCTTTTTACAGATGGTTTGAAATCAGGTGACTCTGTGGGCTCTGCCATGGTTTGTTGTAGCTTCTTGGTTGCCCACAGGATCTCCTGTACAGTTTCTGTATTCACTGCCAAGTTTTATGCCATTTTGCTTGCCTTGGATCACATAGAAGCTAAATAGTACAGTTCCTGTATGATTTACACTTACTGTATTAGCTCTTTATTGACCCTGTAAGTGAGTTCTTTCCCTGTTGTCTTAGACATTCAGAAATAACTGGCCCAATTTTCTCTCTCATCAACTTCCATCCAGTTTTTCTGGATACCTGGCCATGTTAATATTCTAGGGAATGAGCTTGCTGACACTGCAAATAAGTCCATCTGCTCTGACTTTGTCACAGTTGTGCCTGTTCCGTATATGGACTATGGTCCTATGATCAAAGCATGGCTTCACACCAGTTGGCAGTCCATCTTGAGTGAGCAACTTCATAACAAACTTTTCCAAATTAAACCTATTGTTGTTACTTGGCTGTCTAGTTTCCATAACGATCAACAGGGAGGAAGTTGTATTGTGCAGGCTTTGCATTGGCCCAGTTTTTTAATTCATTATTTTCTTTTATGTGGAACTAATTCACCAATGTGTGGCATTTGTGACACTCCAGTCACAATTACCCATGTCTTGCTTCCATGCCGTTATTACGACTGTGAATGGCGGCACAATTTTTAGCATGTTTTTTCATGGGGTTTACCCCTGATGCTGGACAGTACCCTTGACATTGTCCATGTTGATTGTGTTTTTGGCTTTTTTTGGGCCATTGGGCTTTTTCATTCTGTTTAAGTGTTTTACATGATTTTTGGGCATTGTTTAGCTTTTACCTTGTTTTCTCTTCACATTTTATAGTATTTTACTTCTAGCATTTTTGTTGGTTGTTTGGTGCAAATAACTTAGTTGCTTTGTGCCGAAAAACAACAGACAAACAACCTAGTTAATTAGAACATCAACAGGCAGACAGAATATGAATTTGAATTTCCAGTTTGTTT